GTACCCCCTTGTAAGATTATTTCATGAAGCAAAACACGAGAAACTTTCAGAGAAGAAATGCCATGATGAAAATAACATAGATAAATGAGACACACAGGACTGGGGTGCCGCGTGCACTGCATATACAAAAGCCCAAGAGGAGGAAGAACTTGACTGGTCCCCAGAAGAGGTCAAATGTGAGGGTGGCTAGATGGAAAAGTGGACTGAGGCAAGTACAGTGAAGCACGAACGCAAAGGGCAACAACGAGAAGACATTACTCATGGAAGTGACATTTGCAAAGAGTGCAGTGCAGGAAAGGTGTTAACAGAGGGAGTTGGGAGACTGGTTAGAAGAGATTGTGGGGAGTCCTAGGGAGAGATGGTGCTGGCCAGGATTTGGATGGCGATGGGAATGGAGACACACGGAACTGCATGATTAAAATAAGAAAGTGGGGTAACTGTTGTCTCTGATGTGCCACATTGCTAACATAAAAGAACCAGCGGTGTTTCAGGACATCGGCTTTCACACATTGTGAACGTCAGTGCAGCCCATTATAGATGTGCCCTGCATGTTCCTGAAACATTAGGCTATAGAAGAAAGCAGCACTAATAAAGTCCTGTTTGCTTAGGAATTAAGGTGGAACAAAACACTGTGAGAGTGAGTAATGCCACTTAGTAAGTGGATTAAAGAACTGTTAAAATGAGAAAACAGATTTCTTTCTCAGGATTTATGGTCCAGAGTCACCCTGCAAGCCTGGGACTAGACACACACCCCTGGCTTAACTTTTAGCCAAACAATAGAGCAGTTTATAAGACGAACAAAACCACACATATGTACTCCTTAAGAACAACCAACCAAAAGAGATCCAAAGGGCAGCATGTGCCAGGGATGCAGCTCGGAAGGCAGGAAGAGACAGGAAAGAAGGATGAATGACAACTGTAAATACACAGAGGAAGTGGCAATTGCGCTGCGGGTGGCCATTACAATTAGTGTAAAATAATATGTATGAGTTATTGAATGGAAAATCAACTTGCTGTTTAAATTTTCAGTCAGATCACAATATAATGTTAAAAAGAGAACATAACCGCAGGGAGAAGACGAGCCAGTCAGGGTGCAGGGTAGCAACGATGAAACATATAACTTTCCTCTAGTTCCTAAATGCTGCATCCTCCCACTGTCATGATCCCAATTCTACCTTGCAAGTCTGGCTAGACCAGAGGATCTACACTGGTACAGATGGGAACTGGAAACACAGGGAATCCAGGGCGGATAATCCCTTCAGGACCAGTGGTGAGAGTGGCAATACTGGGAGGATGGAGGGAAGGTAGGGTGGAAAGAGGGAACCGATTACAGGGATCTACATATAACCTCCTCCCTGGGGGACGGACAACCGAAAAGTGGGTAAGGGAGACGTCGGACAGTGCTAAGATACGACAAAATAATAATAATTTATAAATTATCATGGGTTCACGAGGGAGGGTGGAGCGGAGAGGGGAAAAATGAGCAGCTGATATTAAGGGCTCAAGCAGAAAGCAAATGTTTTGAGAATGATGAGGGCAACAAATGTATAAATGTGCTTGACACAATGGATGTATGTATGGATTGTGGTAAGAATTGTACCAGCCCCCAATAAAATGATTTTTAAAAAAAGAGAGAGAGACAATAACGTTTTCAGAAATTAGAATTCAACACATTCAAGATTTCCGGGAAAATTAGAACAAAAACTGAAAAAAAGTTCAGGATGGCTCAATGGACTTTAGACAAACTTCAGTGATATTACAGGTCAATGCTCTAAAAATACTATTTACACACCGGCTAGCAAGCACTGAGCTGCATGGAGTATGTGAAGCTGGGCAGGAGCCACTCAGCTGTGCTGCTCCACAGATGGAGCGTCAGTAAGTCGACAATGAAACGGAAATGCAAAAGAGACCAAGCACGTAAGTAGAGCAAGAGAATGGGTGCAGGTGCATTCATGCATATGAGATCCACCAAGGAAAGCAAGTAAGAGATCCAACGAGGAAGCAGAACGTGTAACATCTGAAGACTGAGGTAGGTTGGCAGCATCGAGACAATCTTCTAGTTGCTAGCTGAACTCCAGGCTTTAGATTGGGCATCTTAGTCTCCAAAGTACTTGTCTAAACAGCCAAGCATGGAACTCATCATTAGGTACCATCAAGTTGCTTCCGACTCATAGTGATCTTGTGTACAAGAGAAGGAAACACAGCCCTGCACCATGCTCACAATTGTTCTTTCCGTTTGAACCCACTGTTGCAGCTGCAATGTCAATTCTTGTTGCGAGTCTTCAGGCAGAAACACAGTTGCCAGCACTGAGGCCCAGGAGAGAAAGAGCTAGATGGTAACAAGACAACTCATGCCCAAACTAGAGTGAGCATCTGGGATTCCTTAAACGTCATATCCTAGAGCCAAGGCCTTCAAAGGCAGAATTGCTACTAGGGATTTTGGAAACAAAACCAAAATTCCATGTAAGCAATCAAAGAGGATAAGAACACTCACCCATCACTGGCAGGAGAGCAACAGGAAGAACCAACAGTCGGAGAGAGTTCGGATAGTGGTGAAGGGCACAAACCCTGGATCCGAACTCCCTGGTTCAAACTCTGGCTAAGAATTGGTGATATTTACTGTTTAGCAAATACTGTTACTTAGGGAAAATGTCTGTAATATTGGAGGCCTCAGATTACAGGTTGACACGATTGAGAGGGTTGACATTTCACGACCAATGGGACATGGGTAGCCCACTTACATGGTTGGCTTTTCTTGTGTCTCAGGAAGCAAACTGGTGGTGACAAACTACTGCTTGTGACTAAAGGAACCCTTGGTAGCACCAATCTCAGCCTTTAGATGACACTGAATGAGGGGATGCCGCCTTTTGCCTTTTGGGGTGCTCTTGTACCGAAAGGTGAGCTCTGTGAGTGTTGTTACAAGTCCCTATGTGCCATTTTTAAGGTGCGGCTCTGGTGATGATATAATTTTCAAGTGAGCAACTTATTTTCAGGTTAAATACTGTACGTTTAAGCAAATTATGAGCACCTTGTGTTTGATTGCCAGCCACTACCACCCACCCGACTGTTTTTTCATAGGCACGTTATGCTAATTTTTATAAACATCGTCAAGTTTAACAGCAGGGCAAGGGAAATCAAAAGCATCGGAAGAACCCACTTTCTCGTGAAAGACAAGGCAGGAGCACGCAGGGTGCCAAATGACATAGGACTCCAACAGGTTGGACAACTTGTACTTTCCAAGGCATCTAGAAGGTGAAGCCAAGAATGCAGCACTGAGAAGGAGGGGACTCCCAATAATTATGTGCTGCTGCCCTTTCAGGGTACTTGTCAGTGTAACCCCATGTTTCCACAAGGTTCAGACAACAGAATAAATTTGCTACCAACAAATGACTTTTTTTCCCCTTGGGCCTCTCCAGTGTCCTACCTCTAGAATCCAGTGGGGTCTTTGTCTTCCACATATTTATTACCTTAGTCTTTAGTGAATCTAAAGAACACAAAAATCACTTGGTTGTGAAAGGGTTAAATGTCCATGTTCAAGTTCTTTGGGGAGCCTTTCATGTCCTCATGCTCCATGACCTCCCCTTTGCTGGACAGCTTGAACAACTTTAGAATCATGGTACTTTCTTATTTGGTCCACAGAATCACCTTGACATAAATTTTACCGTCCCCAGTTTGAACATAAGGAAATGGAGGCCCACCCAGTTTGAATTAGTTTCTTGAGATTGCATGGCTAAGCAGGTGGTGAGGCCAGAACTAGATTTTAGTTTTGCCAATTCTAAAACTATATGTGTTTTACTTTTCCCTATGTTCTGTCATTAGACTTGATTTCCATACAACAGGCCAGGATTGCATACTCTCAAGAGCTGTATATGTATCCATCCGATATTTCAAAGTCTGCACGCTGGGCTGTCATTTGTTCATTTTGTACCCCTTTCAGCACTCCCTCGTCTTGTTATGTATAGCGCTCTCAGTCCATATGGTCTAACGCCCATTGCTTACTCCTGTTAAATGTCTCCGGCATCTCTGCTTTCTAGCAGTCACTCCTGACTTTTCTCTGAAATAGAATTCACATGTACTTGCTCATTTCAAACACTTTACACTGAAAAAAAAAATCTGAAATGTGTGAAGTTGGTGCTAAATTATAATAAACAAGAGTGAAACAAGGACCAGAAAAATAAAACTCCAGTAGTTATTTTCCACTTCCTTTTATATTTCGATCTTTTGAGACAAGGTGACTTTCGTCTAAATATTGGAGTAGAGTTGTATGAGCCCCTAATAAAATGATTAAAAAATTATTGGAGTAACCTCAATTATATTAATATGACAATAATTACCATCTTTTAAAGGAGATACTAAATGAGTATTTGAATGGAAAAATAGCTTTAATATTTAGCTTTCAGAAATAGAAACATCTCAGAGACACTGTGAATCCAGCAACTGAATATTTGAGGTAATGAATGTAAAATGAACAATTCTCACAGCCATGGGAACCACTGCTCTTTGATTATTGGGGGAGGGGATTTCTGATATACTTTTGAAATCAAGATCCATTCTCTTGTAAAAGCAAGCCCAGTTCAGTGCTTCAGTAGTTATACAAATATGTGTAAACATAATTATTGTATCTGAAAAGTTAGAGTGCTTGCTAATTATACTAATATCACAAGTGCCAAAAAACAAAGCAGTCAAACAAGTGCAGAAACTCAGTAACAAAAATACTGTTATCAATATAGCTGTCTTATAAGAATAAACCATAGTTTATAGATTAAACAAAAATAGATTAAACAAAAAATAAGGAAGGCCAGGTCATTGTTGTTTGTTCTTTTTGACTCTTTCTTATAAATGCAATGGATAATTCTGACACTTTATCCTTTTACTTAATCTGTGAATACATTTGGTGATACTGAATACTATTGCTAAACATCATCTGACTAAGATTACTATTATTATTGAAGAATCATCAAAGTTTCCAAGCTAATTAATGATTTCATACAACTTAAAAATTTAATTTTGGAAGTAATTGGCTAATGAATTTTTATTTGTAAACAGCCACTATACACCAGTGTTGCTATCAATATGTAACTATGTTTACATGTTCTTGTTTTTCTTAAGAGCTAGAACATAGACTTTATATCTGAGACATCATCAAATACTGTGACAATGGGACTATAATACAGCCTATGTGTGGCATTAAAGAAATCACTGGCTGATCATGCAGTGTCAGTGCACTTTGCTGAACTGAAATGTAAATTTCATCAAACCTAACATGATAACAAATTAATTATCTCGACCCGGTGTAGTACATCTTCCTTCTTTCATAAAGTTCACAGGACTTTCTTAATGCCTTTTCCTACATGATCCTGCAAGGAAAAAAAAAATTAAGTAGTTATGTCAAAGATTAAGAAACATTTAAAAATACAGGATTCTTTTTGTAGAAATGGCACGATGCCATCAGATCTCTAACTTCCTAAGGGGGAGGAGAATTATCAGCATGAGGCTGATGACTCTTATGAAGTGGAAGTCAGACATGCCTCCATCCTCAGATCCTGTTACCAATTCCCAAATCAGTACCTTTTCCAAAACTGTTTCTCTTTCTCTTCTGGATTTGATAATTTGTTGCAATGCCGGACAGAACTCAGGCCATAATCACAGTGACAGGGTTTATTAAATAATAGTTTATAAAATTCAGAATCAGAAATGACTCAAGATAGAGTTCTTTAGTAAAGACAGTTTCTCTACAGTCTATGCCTATGTCTGTAGAAAGGGCTTTCTCAGCCCTCTGCTTCTTGGTCCTGCCTCTGTCCTGCGTGGGTAAGTGTTACAAAGCTCTTTAGCTTTACTCATAAGCCTCCTCTTGCCCAAAGCTGCTTAACTCTCCATGGGTGGTGTGGCAGGCCCACTGGAGCCGGCTCAGTCCCTGCACTGGGAAGCCCTCTGTGCTGTCGTGCTCTGTCTCCTGCTTCTGCTCCTACTGCTTGCAGCCACTTCTCATTGCCTGTGAAGTTACATGCAGCTACCTATCTAATCTCTCGTTCCCCTGCCACTCCCCCTGGGTCTAGGAGGGCCTCAGGACAGGGAACCTGGATGCAAAGGCTCTGCTCCATTCTAAGTAGTGAGATGCCCTCTCTTCGCTTCTGGGACTGGGCCACTGGGTTTGGAAATAAGACTGACCACCTCATTAGGGCTCCCTATACTTTATTCGCATGGTCCACCTCCACGGGCTTCTATGTACATTATCTATAGTATTAGTATGTTATCCTTTTGCTGGGCCAGAAGTGTCTTATTTTCACAATTTCACCTAATCATTTTGTGACGAATGGCTAGAAGGGCCATATAAAGTAATTCACTACATACACTAAAAATCCACTACATACACTAAGAAAAAATTCTCCCTTTTGTGTAATTATTATGATTAATGAAATGTGAAATTATGGCTTGAGAGAGTTTTGCTTGGTAATATGTAGAAGCAAAAATATATAACAATCATGAAAAGTTCACTTCCCCCCGCTTTAGTATGACTTTCATAGGTTACACCAGGAAAAGAAACTTTCTAATAACGTCCCACTGCAACCCTAATTGGGGCTTTTGGCAAGGGAAGAATGAATGGAAATAAAGCCAAAATATCAAATAAACCCAATGTTTTTAGTCTTTAAGACACTTGCCAGTAAAACTGGCTTCTCAAATTATATCCATCACTGATAGTGTTATCAAGATGACTACGATATACTAGAACTGGAGGGAAATGCCCATAATGAAATAAAATACCACAACTGCTGGAATGGCTGTTATTAAAACAACAATAACAAAAACATGAAAAGCGACAGGGGTTGTTTGATAAGAATGTGAAGGAATGGGAACGTCTGCCCATTGTTGGTGAGAATGTAAGATTGTGCAACCACTACTATAAATAGTTAGGTGGTTTCCCAAAAAGGTAAATACAGAATTACTAAGTAACCCAGATGTCATATACCTAAGAGAATTTAGAACAGGGACTCTAACAGATGTTTGCTTCACTGCAGCGCTCTTCCACTTGGGTGGAAACAGCCGACTGTCCATCCAGCAACAGAGAACGGATGCACAAAATGGACTATACATACCATTCAGTCATTGGCAAAAGATGAAGTTCTAATATATGTTACATTATGGATGAACTCTGAAAATACTATGCCAAGTGAAATAAGTCAGATATAAAAGCATAAAAATTGTATAGTCCATTTGATATAAACTATCTAGAACAGGCAAGTGCAGAGAATTAGAAAGCAGACCAGTGCTTGCCATGGCTGGGGGAGGGGCAAGGGGGAATTACTGTTCAAAGGGTACGGAGTTTCTGTTTGGGGTGATGACAAAGTGTTGTAAGCAAATGGTAATGGTTGCACAAAATTGGGAGTGTGATTAATGCCACTGGACTGTACGCTTGGAGATGCTTAAAAAGGGTGAATTTTATATTTTGTGTATATTTTACAATAAAAAATAAAGATCACTTGGACGAAAAGGCAACTGTCTACATCAAAAAAAGAAATATCCTAAAATAGTGTTATTGCTTTATACAAGAAGTTCATCAACGTCATTCTCAGGCTGGGCATTAATGCTTTCGGGGTAGCTTGAATAACAATTTTAAGAACCAAATAGGCAGACAGAATTGAGCGATAAGGCACCATTTTCACATGCTATACATAAACATGTATCTTGCCACTGTAGATAAAAACCAAAGCTTTAAAGGAGTTGCTATTATGGGCCAGTCCCTTAAGTGGAGGGTGGGTTTTGCAAAATGAAACTTAAAAATTGGCAGGTGATGATGAGTTTGTGCTGCCACTAACGTCTAGTGAGTTTGCTTTCTCGTTCAGAATCGAGCCCGGCAAATAGGAAAGGCAAAGACTACATATTTAGAGGGTCTGCTTTCTCATATTTACTAAGTCCCTCAAACAGAAAGGGGCCACCTGGGGAGATCCAAGTGGATTTTAAAAATGCAAAGCGACAAGTGTTTACAGTAAAGAAACCTCTTTCTCCTACTCTGCCTTTGCACCCCCTTTTATTTGAAGTCTTTTTTTCTTTACATCATTTTATTGGGGGCTCGTAAAACTCTTATCACAATCCATCCAACTATCCATTGTGTCAAGCACATGTGTACATTGAGCAGTCTTTTATTGTATGATGATTTCAAGTGCTCAACTTGATAACACTATTAAGTATATCCTTAGGAACTAACGATATAATTGTATTACTATTATAGGTTTCACACTAAAAGTAAAACTCATTAAAAAAAAACCAGATATGGCTTTTAGCACAGATGATCTACATTTACTTTTTTTTTCTCAAATAAGGTTCAGAAAGTGAGGAGCCTACCCATTGGTTGAATCTGCCCACAAATTAAGAGAGCCTGGGAAATAGAGCTCCCTAACTACAAAGTGGAGCAGAGGTGGCAGGAGAATGACTTCAACAATATATAGTCCAGTAACAAGCAAAAGCCAAGATCACAGCGACTAATGACAGAGTTTCGAGAGAAAGATCTCCTAATTTAAGTCACAGCTTTGAACCCTGTCACTTTCTAGCTTAGTGACTTTGAGTAAACTGTGCCCCAGTTTCCTCAATTATAAAATATGGGTATTAAAATACTCAGTTAATGGATTGCTATGTAAAAATAAACAAGTAACAGATTGGAAGCTATCAGTCAAGAGCTTGGTCCATAACACACACTCCACAAAGGACATTAAATGATTTCAATAACCTGGAATGGAAGATGGAAGCAGAAGTGAGATGCAGTGCGATAGTGAGCAAGGCCCAATAGTCAGGGATAGGACCTTCTTTCTTCAATGAAACTGGTATAGAAACTACTTTTTTGGGGAAGGAATTACTCTTAAAAAGATTTCAATTCTTTACCAAGAATGCGTAAGCAACAAGCTTTTGGAAGTGGGGGTTAAGGACTTGGCTTGAGTGAATCTCACTGTTACACGTGTTCTTGAGGGACAGTGGAGGCATTCAGCATTGGCTACTTGCCAATGAAATCTGGGGAGTATCTCTGTGCCTCCTGTATCCATTCAGGGAATTAAACAATTCTGAAATCTTAGCAAAGTCCATGAGGGGTCCCGGCGGCACAGTGGTTACCCGGTGGGTGGTTAACTGCAAGGTCAGCAGTTTGGAACCACCGGCTACTTTGAGGGATAAAGACGAGGCTTTCTGTAAAGAGGTATGGTCTCGAAAACCCACAGCAGCTGCTGAGTTGGAATCAACCTGATGGCAATGAGTTTGGGTTTTTCGGTTGGTAAGTCCACTGGAAGGACACTCATCCTGTGGAGATACTTTGAGCTGACAAATGGGAGAAAGCTGTCCAATTTCTGAGGTCAGAGGCCTCTGAGATGCTTTCTTCACTTCCCATGGTGGATCCTGAAAGATGCCAGTAAATGAGTAACTCCCATCATGTCCTTATAGCACGTGATCAATTTCCGGATTTCTCAAGGGGGCTACAAAAAGTTTGTGGTAAATGGATTTTTTGAAGTCCCCTTATTTTAGATATGAGGAAAGGGTCTAGTCTTTCTGAAAATCTCAGCCCATGGGACTGGGTCCTCAGTGCCCTGCAATTGGCACACACAGGGTCTACACCTTCCTGAGGTTTCTTGCTGTTTTTGCAGCAGGTCAAATGAGCATGCAGCCCAACAGGGAAGGTCAGCGTATAAATGTGCTTTGGACTGCAATGTGACAGGTTCCAAATGAAGGCCAAAGTGGCTACACTGAGGATAAGTCCTTCTTCTTCTTCTTCTTTTTGCCTTTTAAGTCTTTTATTTTAACGCAAAATTGGCTAAATTTTTCATGGTGTTAAACCCATCATCATTTTCCCTTAAGGCCGTTTTCTTCTGGCTTTCTTTAGAAAGGCCTTCTCTCTCCTAAAATCAAACACAGCTTTATCCACATTTGCTTTAGAGACTTGACCTTTTCCATCTTTCTGGAATTCTTTTGTTACAGAGTCTGAGAGAGGATCTGACTTCTTTCCTCACTTGGGCTTTAACAAATTATCGAGCATCATCCTTTCCTGATCCGTGTGAGTGTTTTCCTTTCTCACATTCGAAATAGTTTAAGTCTGCCTCAATGGCTGCACAAGTATGTCTGTTAGGACTTAGCTATTTACACACTTTGCTTGAGGATAAGTCACTCTTGCAGTGTAAATTTCTACAGAGAAAGTGACATTGGGAATAATGACGACGATGAAAACAACAGCAACTACTTCTTGAGTGTGCACTGCCATCAAGGCACCATGCTGAGCAACCGATGCAGTTTATTTAATTCCCACAACTCAGGGCATGAGGCATCATTATTGTTCCCATTTTACAGATGACCAGAGGGCTGATGTAATCTGTGTGGCACCCCACAGTTAATACGGGGCCAAGCATAGTTATTCCAGGTCTCTGTGACTCCAAAGGAGAAGCAGAGTGCCTGCGCCCATGGCTCATGGCAGGCACAGTGCTCGACCCTGGCGATGCAATGATTATTGTAGGGAAATGGGTCCTGGGACTAGGGCTCCTACTATTGTGAAATGACTGCAGACTGTGATTGCTTAAAAAAGAAAACAAAACAAAATCTCACTGAAAACTATAAAAACACAAAGGCGCTGTTATTGAGTCAATCCCAACTCACAGTGACTCTCACAGGACAGAGTAGAAATGCCCCTTTGAATGTAGGAGGCTTTAAATCTTTACAAGAGTATAGCTCATCTTTTTCCCTCTGATCAACTTGTGGGTTTGAACCACTGACTTTGGGTTTAGTAGCTCAATTTGTAGCCCATTACATAACCAGGGTTCCTCTCTAAAAACTATTAATGGCTGCCAAATTCTGAGAACCAATCCAACCTGAGTGCAAAAGCGCATACAGTTCCTCACCCTGGCAAGGATCTGGGATGGAAAGACAAGGCTGCCTCTGGAATGGTCTACTTCGCCCCATCCCTCTTACCAAGAACGTGGGTCCCTCCAGTTCCTCCAACTTTTTCTCACAGGTATGTGTGGATGGGAAGTGATTTCAGATTAGGGGCTGGCAGTTGGAAGCAGAGGGGAGCCAAGGAGCTCAATGTGAATGAAGGGAACTCTTGCTAGACTATCAAAGCCAAACTCACTGCCAGTGAATCAATTATGACTCATAGTGACCCTATAGGACAGCAAAAAACTGCCCCTATGGGTTGCTGAGACTATATCTCTTTATAAGAGGAGAAAGCTTTGTGTTGCTCCTACGGATTGACTGGTGGCATTGAACTGCTGACCTTGTGCTTAGCATTCTAATGTGTAACTACTGCCCCATCAGGACTGGAGGGGGGAAAAGAAACCCCTGGTGCTTGACTTTACAGGTGAGGGAGCTGAGATTTAAATCCTGGCTTTAACAGCACACAGTTGTCATGTGCATCTTGAAAGCTGCCTCTCAAGGAAAACCAAATGTGTAGATGCCATCGATTTCTTCTAACATGACTAAAACATCAGACAGGAGTAGTGCCTTATCAATTTGGGGCATTTTTCAGCATGACTATGACATACATGTTGCCATTTTGTGACTCCATATTTTTGTGTGTTGAGTGACTCTATTTTTGTTTAAAACTCAACTGGAATGCTGAGTTAGGGTGTCAGCAGCTCTTTATGTTATGATTATCTTCATTTCCATGTAAGTCCTAATCTTTAGCCTCTAGTTTTCTGACTTCTCTGATTATTTAAGAAAGCCAAAAGTACAGCTTCTAATTTTAAAAGGGCAAATCTCCTGAGCAATTGATGTAAATAATTAACATCTGAAGATAGGTAAGAGCCAAGAGTGAAGGTGGTCCCCACCTGAAGTTCTGAACGCTCTTTCAGGAGCCGGTCATATTCTTTGGAGAGTCTCTCCGATTGCATCTTCATGGCCATCACATCATTTTGTGCCTTAGAAAGGGCTAGAAAACAGCAAACAAACTGATTTTTAAATTTTATTTGATAACAACTTTACCTTTACCGAAAACTTGCAAGAATTTAAATCAGAAGACCCTTTTAGTCAAATCTACCAATGGTTCATATTGTGCTCCATTTGAGTTACCATATTCTCTTCTCACACTCACTCGCTCACACACACACACACACACACACACCTATTTTCTTGGACCATTAGATAATAAATTCCAGATATCACTCTCTTTTACTCCTTAATACATCACTATGTTATTTCCTAGGAACAAACACAATGCAACCACAATAGAGTTATCAAATTCAGGGAACTTAGTACAAATACAATACTTTATCTATCATCCGTATTTAATTTTGGCAAGCATCTCAATTAGATTTTTTTAATGGTTAAAAAAAGATTTATTTAAGCAAGAATACACAGTCATTATCGCCAAGCTTAATATGAGATGTTAAATGTTTGATCCAATTTTGATTCCTGGTAAGTTTTTCTTTCTTGTCTCTGTCAGTTTTAAAAACCTAATACGAGAACACCAGGGGTCCAATGCCAAGCACAGCCCCTGTGAGTGAGTTCTTGGGAGCAGGCTGGAAATCGGGCTAGATATTTGCTGATCTAGCAGAGGTCCGAATAGCCAAGGCAGCATCTTCGATGGGCCCTAGGCGGTTGGGGTTGATGTACTGAAGCAGATACTCCTGTTTAAGCCGGGATCTTATGGCGCCGCTCAACTGGCGCGGGCTGGGTCTCCAACATACATCGTAGTCAGCGGGATCGAGGGTACTTGGGATTGTTCTTGGGGAACATCTTGGCGGCCACATGTGAACTGCCCTCAATTAGGTTTTTTAAAGTATTTTTCCCCCCTTCTAGTCTAACTAACATCCAGTCTAGATGACATACAAGGGGCTTCAAAATGGTTGTGTTAAATTCCATTGTGCTTTAATTCTACGTTTCTATGAACTTGTGAAGCCTCCTCATTCGACAATGAGTTATCAGGTCTCTTTTGTTTTCTTTAATCTGGAACAGATGAAAGCCCAAGCTCCCTCTGGTCTTTTGCAGCACTGACATTTTATAAAAAGTACAGGCTCCTGAAGAAGACGTAATAAATAAAAGGCCAAAATATGGCAACTCATAAATGAAAAGCCAGACTGATCTTCATTTCAGTGTTACACACACACACACACACACACACACACATATGCCACTTATATACTAATATGACAATGAATCCTCCTTAAGGTATCATATCTGGGGGCACAGCTATCCCTCATTAATTTTTCCATTTCACAGTTACTATTTCCCCCTTGTAACTAAGAAGCAAACCTAGGAGGGTCACCCAAGACTTAAAAAAAAAATCCTTGCTCAAACAATCTTTATCATGTTAATTACAAAATGGTGATTTTCCAACACCATCCTTCCCTCCCACATTTATCAGACAGCATTCTATTGTAAATAAGAGCCTTCCTTTCCGCTTCCGCTCCATCCTTCTATGCATCCATCATCAGTATGGTTCCTTATTTTTCCAATTATTTTAAATTTACTGCTACACTTAACTACGTTGCTATTCAAATTGCTCCCTGTTTGGCCAGCAATAACACCTTTTGACTATTAACCCCCTTTTATTTTTTAGTATTTCTGACTTTCTGCCACAAGATATTCCTGGCTCATCTTAAACCTTCCCTGCCTCTGTCGTGGACGATAGCTTTATTAGAATAGAATTTATCATAAAGATTTGTAAAAACTGATTAAAAGAAAAATAATTTCTATCATTCTTGCTAAGAGATTCGTGAGGATATTTCTCTAAGAACAAAGAAAACAAATTTCTTCTATAAAGTTGAAAAAGAAGTACATTTAAGTTGAACCTATGAATTCATTTTATTGTACTACAAAGGTGAATTAAAATTTTTTTAATCATTTTATTGGGGGCTCGTACAATTTTTATCACAATCCATACACCTATCCATTGTGTAAAGCACATTTGTTGCCTTCATCATTCTCAAGACATTTGCTCTACACTTAAGCCCCTGGCATCAGCTCATTTTCCCCCCTCCCTCCTCACTCCCCCTTCCCTCATGAACCCTTGATAATTTATAAATTATTTTGTCATATCTTACACTGTGCAACATCTCTTCACCCACTTTTCTGTTGTCCGTTCCCCAAGGAAGAGGTTATATGTAGATCCCTGTAATCAGTTCCCCCTTTCCACTCCACCCTCCCTCCACCTTCCTGGTATCCCCACTCTCACCACTGGTCGTGAAGGGATCATTTGTCCTAGATTCCCTGTTTCCAGTTCCTATCTGTAACAGTGTACATCCTCTGATCTAGCCTGATTTGTAAGGTAGAATTGGGATCATGATAGTGGGGGGGGGGGGGGGATTAAAAATTTTTAAAGTTTACTTTCTTATCTAAAATCTCTACCCTAAAAGATTTAAAATTTCAGAATTCCTAAATGCTACATATGTAGAATTGTATCTAGAAATATTTTAGGATTGCACGATATGAAAATGATATGTGAAGCACTAACTACACCAGAGTGCAGGAGAGAGGACTCTAGATCAAAGGGATAAACCCGTTAACACCTTGTCATTTGATCCCCCCTCTGAGGCATGTGCGTTCGATCTGTTTTTCAACATTATGTCTTTTTTTTAAAAAATTTCATATTGGGGTTTATCTCTGATGTATTTTGTCATTGGGGGTAAACCTCTTGAATTTTAATTATATGCTTTTCAGTCTATGAATCCCAGGACTGATGAACCAATAGAGACAGCAAGTAGAATAAGGGTCCCTGGGGGTATGGTCAGGAAGGGGTGGGGTGGGGAAAGGGGAGCTGATATCAAGGAGTTCAAGAAGGAAGAGAATGTTTTGAAACTGATTTGGTAGCAATTGTGCAATACTGCTTGATGCGACTGAACTAAGGAATGGTGAAATATCTGAGTTAGCTCCCAATAAAGCAGTCTTGAAAAAAGAAGCACTGACTAAAAGGGCAATTTAAAAATGCTAATTTACACATCTTCAACTTTCTGACACCCCTTCTACATATTTTACTTATTAGCTTTTTCCTTAAAGGAAGTTGACTTTGATGTCCAGTTTTTACTAGTGTGTGTGTATATCACAAACATTTTAGTAAAAGAGTCTAGTATCTTTTCATTCAATTTCCCCCTATTTTTGAAGCTCTCTAATGCAGGTGGCTTTTAAAGCATTACCTCAGGGTGGGGACATAGAAAAATGGCTACATATTAGCTTGCGTCTATCAAGAAACTAGTCATATATAGCCCTAAAAATTGAAGTCCTTAAAAGTAAAAATACACACACACACACACATCCATGTGTTTTATAGGTCTATATAAAAGCTCACATATATAACAACAAATATAGTTGTATAAACAATGTGGTTTGTCTTTCCTCTTGAGAAGTCACCATACAGACGTAAAAAAACCTTTTTATTGTGAATTATGTGAAATCTTAGAGCAGATCATTGGTTTTATAAGCAACAATTCAAACACATTATTTTTCATATGTGGGCACTCTGTGTAAATGTTTATAAGTGCACTCTGTATCACTGTTTTATAGATAGCATCGCCAAAGAAAACATTCAATGTTGAAAATATTCTACATCTGCACTGTTTAAAATGCTGGACACTACTACATGTAACTAACTATCAAATACATTAAATGTGGCTACTGCAACTGAAGTGAATTTAAAATTTTGCTCAATTTTACTTAAATTTCAATGTACACAGCGACATGCTCATTACTGGATACTTCTACTGGATAGTCCTGTGTAATTTGCTCTATGTTATTATATAGCTCCATAGTCTAAACTAGTTACTGAAGATGGAATTTGATGAATGTAATGTGCTTATTATCACTTAGTAAAGGGTTGTTCCTCTTCATGCATAGGGGCTCCCTACAGGAAGTTGGAAGCCAATAAATGGTAAGGAGCATGAGCAAATTCAGGCCCTGGAGCCAGGAAGGCAATACACCTGGGTGGCCCCCAGACTAGGTCAGGTAGGCTTAATTCAGCAACAGTGATCGTGCCTTCCAGCTGAAGGCCCTAAAAAAAGCAGGAACCAGGAGACTACCCTTATTTTTTAAAATCATTTTACTGGGGGCTCACACAATTCTCATCACAATCCATACATACATCAATTGTGTAAAGCACATTTGTACAATCGTTGCCTTCATCATTCTCAAAACATTTGCTCTCCACTTAAGCCCCTGGTATCAGCTCATTTTTCCACCTCCCTCCCCACTCCCTCATGAACCCTTGATAATTTATAAATTATTATTATTTTTGTCATATCTTACACTGTCCGATGTCTCCCTTCACCCACTTTTCTGTTGTCCAACCCCCAGGGAGAAGGTTATATGTACATCCTTGTAATCGGTTCCTCCTTTCCATCCCACCCTCTCTCTACCCTCCTGGTATCTCGACTCGCACCACTGGTCCTGAAAGGATCATCTGTCCTGGATTCCTTGTGTTTCCAGTTGCTATCTGTACCAGTGTACATCCTCTGGTCTAGCCTGATTTGTAAGGTAGAACTGGGATCATGATAGTCGGTGGGGGGGTTGGAGAAGAGAAGCATTTAGGAACTAAAGGAAAGTTGTATGTTTCAACGTTGCTACACTGCACCCTGACTGGCTCATCTGCCTACAGATGGGCTTTGGGGCCCCACTCTCCACTCCCCCTCATTCACAATGATATGATTTTTTGTTCTTTGATGTCTGATACCTGATCCCGTCGACACCTCGTGATCACACAGGCTGGTGTGCTTCTTCCATGTGGGCTTTGTTGCTTCTGAGCTAGATGGCCGCTTGTTTACCTTCAAGCCTTTAAGACCCCAGGCGCTATATCTTTTGATAGCTGAGCACCATCAGCTTTCTTCACCACTGTTTCTTATGCACCCATTTGTCTTCAGCGATCATATCGGGTAGGTGAGTATCATAGAATGCCAGTTAAATAGAACAAAGTATTCTTGCGTTGAGGGAGTACTTGAGTGG